AGTTCAAACACCACCCCAACGATAACCCCCGGGTATTTCAATTTAACTTGGTTACAAATCGCAATACCCCGTCCTCAGCCCTTTTGCAATTCAATAAAGAACTCACTGGCAGAGTCGGGGACCATCATAAATTTTCGTCATCCTCAGCTGCACCTTTTTGGGGCGAATACATCTTACCATTTACCCAACATTTTCCCACACTCTTTCACCGCAAAACACCTGTACTGCCACGCCCCGCTCCTCGAGCCATTTGTCAGGAAAAAGGAGGTAGTTTTTTTTTTTTTACTAGGAGGATGAGGATGAGAAGGTGGTTTCCAAATAGGAATAGCTGCCAAGTCATGTCACTGCCTGCCTGCTCATCTACATACACGCAGAGATCCTGCGCCAGGATACAAGCCAGGCGAAACTCGTATGCGAAAATACCTTTCGTGACTTGGTGCCAACTACGTGTTGGGGATACCTATATTCCCTTTCCCTCCCACCCCTCTACAACTCCCCATTCGCGACTTATATTTACTGTTTTTCAAATTGCACTTTGCAACTTTTGGCTGCCAGCGTTCTTTTTTTTTGCCCCGTCCTAGAATCAGACCAGACCAGCACCCCTGGCTTTTTGCCCCATGTGTTTATGGCTTCTTAATTGTGTGTCCCAGCCAAAAAATAAACTTTTTTTCCCCATGGTTTTGTTCTTTTTTTTGTTTTGTTTTTTTTTGGTTTTTATCAGACATTGACAGTTTATGTTAATCTGGGCTGTCGACGGAGGGTTGCGGTAAATATCCGTAATCAGGTTGATATTAATATTGATTAATTACCCGTCATGTTTGCACATATTCCTACCATGAATATTGTTTTTAAAAATAATTAAAATGTTTTTCCTTATTCAATGCCCGATTGTTGGGCATAATTAAGCAGCTTAATTGAGCATGAATGGATTGAGCGCAACTATTGATGGAATGATTAACTGGGATGAAAGAGGACACTATGTAACGCTGAATTGATTATGGAAGTGGAAATATATAATGGGGAAAAACAACTATATTTACATATTTAATTACATTTTTAAAGCTAAGGGGAAAGTTTAAATAATGTGAAACAAAAATCAATAAAAAAAGGTTTATTGCGAAAGATTAGCATGCCATTAGGGTTGGTTTAGGCTTTTAAATACTCTTGGGAGTATTTAACAAACTATTTTTAAAGCATTTTCCATATGCATTCGATAATAAAATAATTTCCTGATATTTAATCTGTGCCAATACACACCTCAAACTTGAGCTACCGCCTTACACCCTCATCGGTTTGAATATACGTTTTAATCCTCTCGGCTTAAATTTTGAGCTTGTAGCTTAATACCCAGTAGGATCAAATCGCTTTGCAGTCTTGCTTGTGTTGGAATTTTAATTGGTTGCAAAATCAATAATCAGCAATGCGGCATAAACTATTTATGTGTGTCAAACCAATTGCCAGTCCGTTGGCGGCCCACAAGTTAAAGTCCCTAAACTAACACAAATACCGCTTAAATATAAATACAAACATTCACACATACAAATACATTTCACAACTTCCGCTCACTCATACCAGTGAAAAAACAAGCTGAACTTGAGTCAAGAGTTATGCCAAGGCAAATTGACTTGAGGAAATTTTTGCTGCAAAGTATGCAACGATTTTCGGCACTCTATTCGTGTTTGTGTGTGTGTTTTCGTATGTTTTTTGGGGGTTTTAAAGGGGGTGTTAAGGGGATAGGAGGAGGAGGAGGAGTAGGAGGTGTGTCTGCAAGCTAAGCCGAGTCAAAATCTAATTGGATTTGTGCTCACTCAATGAACTGCAAACGAAAAGTGTTTTATATGATTATTCCACTGGGAGCCTCCGGGGACCCGAGAAATGAACATTTTTATTTCCATTTTGCACTTTCCATAGTCCATTAAACCAAAGTGCAAGTGTTTGCAAAATATGAGCGTCAAGAAGTACAGAGAAAGAAAACTGGCTTAGTTATGGGAAAGTGATTTTGAGATAAGGGTAAAGGTCAATCGAGAAGAGTTACCTTATGGTCTTAAGTTTGATTGGAAAATAGTCTTTCTTTCGTGAAAAACACTTTCATATCTTTTTTTTTGTTAATCGTAAGTTTTTAAAAAAGATTATAAATATAATTTATATTTCCTGATATAAAAATCCAAATATATTTGTACAATAACCATTTCCCAAGACATTTTCCCCATTTCCCAGTGTATCTATTAAAATATATATTTTCAGGCCCTTGTTGTTCAGCTTTTATTGAGCGCTCTTGTGAAGGCGACAAAATATTTGCCACGCGACATTTCCAGCAATTAGGCGTAGAAACACGTAGCCAAGAATGGCGAAGCGGAATCCTCGGGCATTCTTCGGAAATGGAGGGTTTATCATAGTGCAAATCGAGCGGCGGCAGCTGCTGAAGGCGAACCAAAAACGAAAAAAGGGAGCAGCGCCTGCAATCTTTAATGAGACGGAAAGCGAGCGCCAATCGCTGCAATTAAAATTAATTACAGTATTTGTCAGCTTAGCCGGGCTAACTAAACTAACTGGCCACCAGTATGGTGGCCAACTAGCAACCTGGCTTCAGGATCTCCATTCAAAACCAGTGAGGAGGGGAAGCTCGGAGTGTGGGAGAACTGCTTTGATTGCAATCGCGATCGTTAATTAAATGTCGAAAGGAATGTTGTTGTTGCAGCTTGTGTTTGTGTTGCAGATGTTGTGGTGGCTGCTGTTGGTGCCTCCTGTGCGTAAAGATCAGCCAAAATGGATAAGGGCCCAGTTGCTCTTGCCGTTGGCTATTTATATCTGCAGCACGTTGTTGCACGCAATGCAATGTACATATAGCCAATGTTGCTGTTGCAGCTATCCGATGTTGCAGCAGTTACTGCTGCTGCTGCTGCGGGCATTATCGCCCTTGATCTTGGCTAAATCGAAATCGCCGGCGTTGCGTGAAGTGTTGCAAATGAGTTTTTGTCTGGGGCGTGCATTGCATTTTCAATTGGTCGGCAAATTGGCAGCGCCAACGAAAACAGCGCAGCGCCATCAAATCAAAATCACAGGTGGCACAGCTGTATTGAAATTGGCTTTTTAAAGTCATTTGGTCAGTGAACCACTTAGGTAAAGTTATAGTTTGGAAAGAGTGGAAGGTGCACTTAATTAATATATATATCAAACTAAGTCATAATAATTACCTGTAAGTGAGTAATAATCAAGCTGATGTCTAGCATGCAATAAATAATTTATGTTCTTCATGAAAGTTTTAAGGGAACTTCTTCCAGCAATTATAAAAAGAGAATTCATTAGACGCAAGTTTAATATTTATAAAAAGTTGAGGAATATTAATAAGTCTTAAACTAAGTATAAATATTATTATTTTTGCCATCATCTTCATGACATTGACAGTAAAAGTACTTAATATCACACTCTTTTCCACTCTCTCATAAATATTTACAAAATAGTTATACTTGATAACCATAGTTTGCTTGCCCATATATTGCCAATACTTGCAATGCAATGCCATTGTACGTTTGTATATGGCCAAATGCAGTTGTATAAACAGAAACTTGAGCTATCGATATATATATATATATAGATATAGATATATGACAACAAACAGTGGAAAAAAACTTGAGACTCGTTTTTGGGGCCAAGAAAACTTTTTCGCTGCATAAGAAAAACTAATGAAAAATGCAGCGCAGAGGAAAAAGTTGATTGGTGTCGTCCTCGCATTTTCCTCTCGCATTCTCTTACCCGAAAAAAAACTTGGCCATGTTTCAATTGAAAGAGCCAAACAAAACCAATGAAAAGTCCATAACGAACGGACGGGAAAATGCGGAAAACCGGGGGGAGAGGTGCTAAAGCGAAGCAATTGAAAAACAGCTTCCGTCGGTGTTGCAAATTGACAATTTCGTGGTCCGCTTTTTTTTTTCGTTATTCACTTTTCGATTGCCGTGTCAAATGCAAAGAAAGTTGTTAACAGAAAGTCAATGGAATCAGTTGTCGACGAACTTATAAAAAAAACTTTAATTAATATTGATTATTGATCGGAAAATGCTGGTTTGAATTTCGCAAGACAAAAGATTGCGATTTGAATTCCCTTGCGGCAAAAACTGTCTTCAACTATATCAACTGCCTTCAACCCCCCCACTCAAAACAAAAACAACAACTCCAATATGCAAATGAGCCACGTGCATGCATGCAGATTTGAAGATGGCCAAACGACAAGTGCACTGACCAACACGTGCGAGTTGCGTTGCGGTTCGAGTTGCCAGCCGGCTTAGGAGCGGCGAATGTGATGATCGAACTAGGTTCGATGTTGCCATAGTGATGAGCAGTTCAGCCTGAGGATTAGCTAGGAAAAAAGGTAGTAGAAATGGGTGTACGCTTGGAGATATTGTCATTTTAAAAGATTTTTAAATTGATATAATTATTTTACTTATTACTTATGTTACTAATGTTATTTAAATTTTATAATTATGTGTCTTGCAGTACCTCTTAGCTTAGTTTCGTTAATATACAATGAGTAATATGGAATCAAAAGCAATATAAATCTAATTTCATAAACTATTTATGTTGATTGCCAACTGTGTTTTGAAGTACTAAAAACACTAAAAGCGTAGACCTTCTGCGAAACTCTTATCCAATCGCTGGCATTCCCCATCTTCTCCCTGGAGCCCCATAACCCATTAGGGTGGACCACTTTTGCGTTCCCCTATTTCAAACTTCATATACCATTTGCCGTATACGGGCTCATTTGTCATTCACAGGCTGGAAACAACAATGTCTGGGCCAGCAACAAAGGGTCTGGGCACTGTGCGAGATTGTGTGTGTTTGGCTTATCAGCGAATGTTTATCAGAAGGAAAGAAATGACCCACACAAACATACCACCCCCATTAAGAAACCCATCGAACTTGGAACTTACAACTCGAACATCGAACCACGAACTTGTTGGTATCCACAGTTGCCGGCTAAAACACAATGGAAAAACTTAAGTCTTCAGTTAAATTCAGTCGATTTTTGACCGTTGAATCAGCTGGTTGCGGTCGGTCTGTAAGTGCGAGTGGGAGAGCGCGCGTGCTAAAGTGAATCCGTTGCATTTCTCTTCCTCTTCCACTCTTCACACCTACGCAGAGGTGTGTGTGCGCGTGTACAAGTGTGCGTCTGCCCATATGTGTAAATTAACACAACAACAGCCAATGCAACAACAACACAAAATCACAGTCAGCTGTGAAGTTTCTTTGAATGTGTGAAATCATATATGCAAATGGCAAAAATAAGCAGAAATTACAAATTAATAGTGTGAAATTTTCATATACAAATTAAAGCATGCTAATCGAAATAGCTCAAAAAGCAACTGAGTAAAATCAAAGTATTCAAAATAAAAAAAAAAAATAAAAAAACACAACCACAACACAAACGCAGAAGGTTATACATGTATGTGTTTATTTTGTGAAATTTGGCAAACGGAATTGGAACTTGGGAATTTTTGACAGCAGAATCAAGGAGCGAAAAGGAGAGCAGGAAGCGGGGTAAGTTTGTATAGAAATAACGGGAAAGGAGAGCTTGGCAATTGTTGTAAGCACGCGACCCGGCACTGCCTGCCTTCTCATTCGCACTCTCATTGCACCTGTCACTCGCCCTTTCCTACCCCGTATCTCCCTTTATCCACCCGCTGGCGCCATCTCTTTCTTTTGCCTGACAGCAGATCAAACAAAACATTCATGTTTGTTGTGTTGTTGTTTGTTTGTTGTTCAGTTTTTGCCTTGGTGTTCGTGCACCGTTAGCTTGGGCTGACATTTTACAATGCTTCCTCTTCTTTCGCCACCTCTTGCTCTTATTCTTGTTCTTGTTCTTGCCTTTGCTCTTATCTTAGTGTTAGTATAAGTCTTTCCATCAACTCCCTTCCTCATTTTCAACGGGCTTTCGACTATGTCTGCGGACTGAAAACGAAACAAAACAAAAACCATACAAAACATAAATATGCATTCCGTCTGAGATAGCTGCACATAGGGAAAATGTTGCGAAAGAATTTTCTTAGATTTTCTAAAAGGTTTCTAGTTTAAGAACTTGATTTTGAAAACTTTTTTTTTCAAGGAGAGATTTCGAAAGAATTAATACAAATTTTTTACCTATAAACTTAAAAAAGAAGTTTGAATAACAGTGAACAGTATTTTACAAACGTCTTCTATTAAAAATTCTAAACTACAGTCGTAATTTCCAAGAAGAAATCTTTTTTAAATGAGAATTATTTAAAAGATTTTTGGTTTTGTGTTGTGACTCAAATTTAACATGAAAAATGTTTCTATTCAAGATAAGTTTAGTTTGAAATTTAATTAAAAAATGTGGAATTTATACTCCATAAACTGTGTTTATCAAAACAAAAAATATCATATATATATACAAAAAATGTTTATAACTAAAAACGAAAAAAAATTCTCTTTCTTAAATCTCAAAAAATAAAAGATTTCTGAAATGCAACTTTCTTTTCCCAACTTAATTAAATAATTAAAGCTAAAAATAGATATGCGTGACTAATTTTTGTGGTTTTCCCTTAGTAATGAGCTGGATTAAATTAGCTTTGCTATACTTGATTAGGGTATAACATGTTCTTTGCGGAAAAAATCGAGGTTTTGTTTGCAAATTACTTTTTATTGGGCATTTCCTTGACTTTGCTGGCTCTTCTCGTCGTTTTGATTTTTTTTTTTTTTGGAACTTGCAAAGAAAAATCAATAAATTTCATTTGATTTTTTATAGTCGCCTTCTGGTGGTCGTGTGGCAGCTGTGTCTGTGTTTGTTTTTATATGCGTGTATTTGTGTATTTCTCCACGAGAAAAACCCTTGAATGGGTCCGCTTTGTTTTTGCCTTTGGCTTTGCCATGGCAGCACTTCAGCCACCTCTTCAACTCCCACTCTTTTAGCCTGGTTCTCTCTCTTTAGGTCTGTCTGGCTCCGTGCGTTTTGCCGGCTTTTTGTTTTGGTTTTTTTTCTTTTTATTTTTGCCTGCAAAACGTCTCTGGCCTAGAATCAGAGGCACTAAAAGCAAAAAGCCAGAATTTCCCCTTTTGTTATTAATTATCAAAGACGTTCGTTAGTTAGACCCGCCTAGATTAGACAGTTGATTGCATGGAATGTGTATTGGTGTCATGGCTAAAAAGAGTGGCTTCATTTTATATAGCCGTATAATTAATCAACAACAAAGTTTTTATTATATTTTAGATAGTAATTTTGTTTTGGCATAAATACGAACCAGTTCAGCTGGTCAAGTATTATTTTCGACTGGTTTGTGGAGGAGACTGCCGTTGCAAGTTGCTCATGTTTTTAGAAATAGATTAGATAAGATTAGATTGCAGTAGATATCTTTTGGTAACCGAACGTTATCATTTATATGGGCAAGACATCATTATGGAATATTTTGTTAATTGAATAAATATAATAACTTTCATCAAGGAAGACAAGAGGCATATTTGCTGGCAAATATTATTTTTCAAATATGGTATTTGGCTAATTTAAATGTTGATATTTCTTTACCTATCAAATATTTAGCAACCTCAAGAAAGAGCTGCCATTTAAAACTCCTTCAACCTTCAACTTAAAGATTTATTAGGCCTGATGACAATGTCTGGCTTTCTAATATCAAATCTTTCTGACAACCGAAGTTTTACGGCATAATTTGGACATTCATAACATTTTTATTAGCCTTAATATATCATTTTCCTAATATAGCCATTTCAATTATACCAACTCCCAGTGACAAGGGAAAATGTCGTTTGTTTTAATGCCTGGCGAGACCCCCTTTTTCCTCTCCTATGGCTTTCCTTGCCTTGTATTTTCATTTAATATTTGCTTAATTTTATAAAAATGAACCTTCATCGCTGTCACTTGTCGTTTTTTGCCTGCGACGACGTCGACGACGAGCTCTTCGTTTAATTGCATTTCCATTTTCATAAAAACGGGTTTCAGGTGAGAAAGATACCTGAGTTCAGAGGTCTTTTCGGCTCTTTGGCTCGTTTGATGCTTGGTTGCATCATTAAGAAGCAGCAACGGCAATTAAATTTAATTATTTATGTCGGCCAGTGGCGTTAGGGTGTGCGAGAGTAGAGTATATAAAAAGAAGGGTAAAGGTTGGGCCAAAGGTAAGACACAAAGATATAGGGGTTGGGGCAGAAGAAGGGGGGCCCACCTGTGGTCAGGCGGCAAAAGTTAAAGCTGTTGCCATTTATGTTAATTTTCAATGAATTAATCACTCCGCATATTAGCATTCCTTTTGACCAGGCTTACATCATGGCCCATTCTTTCTTTGTTTATGCCATCCGTGATAGTACGGCATTTAGTTATGGTATAATATCGAGCAGCTGCCAGCTCTAAACTTCCAATTCTTCTCGTACGGCCTCTTCTTCTTTAGAATTTCGCACGTCTGCACGTTCTCTATTGGATGTATAAGCAAAAAAAAAAAAAAAATAACACAAGAACTAGGGAAACAGTTTAGTTGGCAGCAAAAAAAAAAAAGAAAACGAGTAAAAAACAGTTGTCAAAATGTGGTACATGGGAAAAAAAGAAGAGAACATTATACAATATTCTTTGTCTTGCAGCTAGCTGCACGTTTTGGCTTCGTATATCGAATTGCAATGGCCCAAAGCTGGTATCTAATGTACGGAATGTAACAGGGATTGATGGGCGTTCTCAGGGCGGGTGGATCAGTTGTCAAACGGAACTGGTCTGTAGCACGTTCAAGTACTGATAAACTCAACCTTAACCCAGTTTGGGTAGCACTCTTGATAAGTTTTGAGAGCGGATAGATGGAAGTATCCAATTTGGACAAGACGGCAGAGTGGCAGGTGGTTCAAATTCGAGTAGGTGATACGAGTTTGTGACATTTTTACGGTAACTGCTTCCTTCAATCGAGAGGATTAGATTCGGAAAACTGGTTTTTTTATTATTGCTAAAGCTTTAAAGCATGTTTTTTGCTGTTCTTAATCTTAGAGTATCTCATTTTTCGCTTAATAGTTGTTTATTTTGATATTCAGCTTTTGTTTATGCAATTATTCGCTTATCAAATTGCCTTATTATTAACTTGCTCCTTTACTATTTTCCTTTCTAGTTTTCCTTTTCCTGTAATCTGTTTACAACTGACCTACTAATTTATCTCTACACGAAAGTTGCTCCTTGGAAGACTTCCCTTTTAGCAGAAAAGCTCAACTTCTGCCTCGAAGGAAAAGCAGAAGATCTTTTGTCAAAACTTCCGCTGTTGCTGAATGTTTCGGGTCTTCTGCTGATTTCGGTTTTTTGTATATATTTTACGATGTTTTATGTTTTGTTTGTTTCTGGTTGGCCCCTTTATAATTCAGCTTCCTTTAGCTGATAACAATGCAGAACAAAAAACTTTTTAGCAGCCTTTTATGCACTCGTACTTGCCACGCACACACACACACTGTATATACTTTCATTCATCATGATGGGGCAAGAGAGTGAGTGTGAGCAACGCAAAGTTGGTGGTGGAACATTTTGGCAACTGCTTTCAGCTGGTTTGCCTTTTTGGCTCTTTTATTGTTTGCAGCTCCTCTTAAAAGGAGTGCGGAAAGTCTGACGCGTAATTCATTACTTGTTGAGGGTTCGTTCTCTGGGGTCTTTAGCTGGAGCTTTTGTGTTTGTTCTGGCTTAGGCTCATTTCTCTGGACCTTTTCTCAAGAGCGTTTTGCGGAAGTTTCTGCTGCGATATCGCACGAACTATTTGTATTTCCTCAGCTTGCTCATATATTTTACTAGCTCTCTCTGGCTCAGCCACTTGCCCCTAATCTATCGGACTTCCCTTCTCCTTTCCCCTGATTTACCCCGAAAGTCTAGCAAAACGTAGACCAAGCGGGTAGAAAATTGTGATAAGACATTTCTTGGTTTTAGTTTTTTGTATATACATTTCCGTTCACTCTTCACTCTTTGGATAAAAATGAAATTATATAATTCTTTGTCATATTATTTTTATCGGATATTTATGCTTTATATATAGAAATGTTTTTTAAGTTAACTTCAAAGGTTTTTGACCTGTTGGGCCTCTTTCGTGGAAGTTTTCGTATACAAATATTTAACCTACTCAAGTACCTTGAAGAATACTTATCCGAATGCCTGGTTTTCCTCAGGGCAGTCCAGAGAATTGCTGAGGATTGAATAAAAATGGTCTTGAAAATACCTTGTAAAACCAAATAAGGAAAGCTTAAATATTTTGTTTAAAATTATTTGTATTTAATCCAGCAAAGTGGTTTGAAAATTATATTTCAATCTCCTAATCTCTTTAAGTAAAACCCAAAATCAGCTAAAGATATTCACTTAAATATCTGTTAGGCCCAACGCATAAATTTATGTTAACTAATTTGGTATTCATAAGTTGGCAAACGAGTATTCCCAATGCGAGATCCTTGGGGCTATACAGCCCCAAAAATGAATACAATGTTTAAGCATTATGTCAGGCCCACATGCGAAGGCTTTCTTCATAAATTCATAAAAATTTCATACACACACACAATCATAAATACACCAA